TGGGATGGATGTATCTGCATAAACTGTGCCTGTACTAGATTTGACACATCCTGACTCCTACAGAAGAATTATTCCCTAGAAAAAATACTTTATTGGTCAATAATTTTCTTCAAGATAACACACAGATGCAGAATGAAGATTAAGATGTTTCTTGAGGGACCAGCAGTTAGCATAATAGCTATGTCGCTGGGACTCCCACGTAGTCGACCACGGTTCGCCTCCCGGACCCGGTGGCTTAAAACTCACGCCGGGCGCGTGTGCATGCATGCCCAAGATCCCGAGAGGAGAATGGAGGAGAAGGGATTGCGGCATGGCCATCCCCCCTGGGTGGTGATTTCTCACTTTCTGTCTCTCTGTCTCTCTCTAGTCTGTCTGGCAAGCGCACGTGCCGTATGTCAAAAACCTCTCCAAAAAAAAAAAAAGATGTTTCTTGATGTCTGTCATTTACAAGGAAACCAGATGATCAACTATTTTTGATGACAGAAAACTGATTATCTAGTGTGTGATAGCCAGTACTATAAAAACAAGGCTTCTTTGCATTTAATCGTTTCCTCGTAGATAGCATGTATTATATTTTTCACAAGTTCCTTATGCGCATTTGGTTGAATTTCTTCCTATTTGACTTGTAGAACTGTTCAACTGCTGACAAATTGTTTCTGTTAGCTGTGGCTCACTTCATCTGCGATGTTGGAGGGCAATAGTTCTACTCAGGATGCTTTGGGATAGAGGCACTATGTCAGCATGTCTGAGGATTTTTGCTGTGGTATTGCTGGGATGTCCTATAGGAAAAATTAAACTTCCGAAGACTGGTGATCAATGTAGATTCTTGTTAACACAATTGACTAACTCTAATAAAAAGACTGTTCTGGGGTGTGTATGTGTATGTGTGTATGTGTGTGTGTGTGAGAGAGAGAGAGAGAGAATCTTAGAATATGATTTTCAATATGCACTATTTTTCAAAAGAACATTTCCTACAATATTGGAATTTTCCTAGAAACTAGTTTCTTGTTTTCTTATTACATCTGAAATAATGTACTCACATTTAACCTAATTTTGTTAGAGTTTCATTGGTTTAGTGGAATTGATTGCAGAGAAACCATCAAGAATGATATAGTAGCCATTCAATCATGAAATGGTTTCAGGATGCTAGTAAATTTTCTTAGAAAATTGAATTTACTGAATAATAGTGAGAGCCTATGTTGCCGAAAAGAATCAAACTTTGCTTTCAAGATTTCTATATCCAGTCACTAACAGCAGTTTAATACATGCAAAACTTCCAATAAAAATTTTAAAAATCTAGTATAGAGGGCCAGCAGGTGGTGTGGTAGTTAAGGCACTAGACTCCCACTTGGCTAACCACAATTTAAATCCCAGACCTGGCGACTTGCTTTCTTAGTTTACTGCTCTCTGTCTCTCTCTGGTCAAATTAAAAAGTAATAATAAATAAATTAAATTAAATTAATAATTCTTTTAAAAATCAAATATAGATTTACACCACTGACTGCAATGTTTTCTAAAAATGTATCTATACATTTTTGTTTTTTCCAGTTTTTGCTATAGGGTCTGTGTACTTGCCAGAGAGAGAGGGAAAGTGAGAAATCACCCTACTGGGGGAATGGTTAAGCTGCAATCTCTTCTCCTCCAATATCCTTGAGATCCGGGGCATGCATACACCCATGCCTGGAGTGATGTTTAAGCTGCTGGCTCTGAGACCAGAAATACACAGTCAGTCTTGTGGGATCCAGCATCTTAACCTCCCCAACACCTGCTGGCCCCTATATCTACACATTTTAAAACAAACTTTTAAAAAAATTAATTATATCTTAATTTTTGTAATGATAGGGCAAAGAAGAACATAAATTAAACTATAAATTAGTCTAAGATATTATTGACAGTCACAGTCATAGAACTTAGAAGATTCTCTTTCAAACACTATTTAAGTGGAAAAATATGGTTTCACTTCATTCATACATATTAATTCCGTGAAAATTTTGGTGACTATAAATTACTTCCATCATTGATTCAAGTTATAACTCTAAAATTTTTGCATTCTAAAACGTGCAAGTAATGCTGATACAAAGTACATAAAAATTAGTTCTATGATATTGAGCCTTAAACTACTGGGTCACTGGAAGAGTCATGATGTATTTTTCTATGTTTTTCCATGTAGAAATGCATCATGGCTTTTCTGATGGCCCAATAATAAATATTCATCTTTTGTGTCACCCGCAAAAATTAATTTTGCAATCATACAATGGATAAATGGTTACTTTGTGAAATAGATTTGATGGCCATCAAATCCTTCTATTTATCTATCTATTTATTTATTTTGTCCACTAAAGAGAGAGACAGAAAAGGGGGACACCCCTAACAGGGTCTCCATGCCGTGATTCACCCCAGCCTCAGCCAGCCTGGATCACAGACACAAACATGCGTGCCTGGCATGTACAGGGAGACCTCAAAAGTGAAGCTGTTTTTGTTACAGGCTATATTCTGTGTTCAAATAAATCCCACACCTCATTGAGTCATAGTGAAATCACACAGGATCCAGTGGGATACTATAAGGTGACCAGTCTGAAAATCATCTAACATGACAAAATGTTTAAGGATCATGAATGTTTAGCTTGAAGCACTGAATCTAAGTTTTGAGAGGTTTTTGTTAGTTAGCATTAAACATGTGAAAAGGTGCTTTGCTTTCAATGGGCTAGACGTGTTCTATGCTCTTTGACAACAGAGCCATAGCATCAACAAATTAAAGTTAGTGAGAAGCGAATTTCAACCTAAGCTTTCCAACTGCAGGAATGTATACCTGCTCTATTACATTGAGGCTGCCTGATGGACCGGAAGTTCCAGACAAGAAAATTAGAGAAGCTGGTGCTAGCAGATCTCTGAGTTCACTTCTAAGTCTCAAATTCTTATATTGAATAGGTAGAATTAGACAAAAAAAAAGAAAGAAAGAAAGAAAGAAAATAGGGTTTCTCAACAATCAGAGTTACAAAAGACTGCTTTTATCTAACTATAAGCACTTTCGATAAAGGATACATAATTAAAATTATGTTTGCTAAATTAAAAAGTCTTAACTTTCAACCCTTTAACCCTCATACACATACACAGAAAAGCTCATGCACGTGCTGCCCTAGGGAAAGGGATTTTTTTTTTCCTTCTATCCTGTATAGCATAAGAGCATCTAGTCAGTGTGCAAAGGTCAGTAAAGCCCATTGTATACTTTACGTCCTAACAATGTGGCAAATGCAAACAGTAGAGAAAACTTGAGAAAGCTTTATTTCACTCTCTATTTCCACAATATCCAGAATTCTAGATGTAATTGTCCACATATATCATAATAAAAATAATGAAATTGAAAATGGGAGCAACCAAACAGCCAGCTGTATGAAGGATCACTCGAGACTTCATTAAATACTAACTCATTAGCTTTGAACAGCTCAAGGACACTAAAAATGTTTAGAACCACTCCTATTTGAACAACATAAGTATAAATATCAAAAGGTTAAAACAATAGGAATCTCTTCAAACATGTGATGCGTTAAGTTTAAGACAAATAAAGAGAAGCACATCTTCATGAACCAAATGAGTTTCTAAAGTCATAGTGAATGCAAGAAATCTCAAAAGGGTTCCTTGTGTAGAGTCCTCGCTTATGACTGCTTTACATAAGCTGAGCTGGGACCAGTAGATGGCATAATGGTTATGTCACTGGACTCCCACATAGTTGACTGCAGTTTTAGTCCTGGACCTGGTGGCTTAAAACTCACGCCAAGTGTGTGTGTGTGGGTACCCGAAATTCCAAGAGGAGAATGGAAGAGGAGGTATTTCTGCGTGGCCATCCCCCCGGGGGATGATATCTGGTTTTCTGTCTCTCTGTCTCTGTCTGTCTCTCCAGCAAATGCAAATGCCCTTTTGCAAAAATCTCTCTCCCAAAAAAGAGGTTGAAATAAGATATTCCCTCCCTCTCTGTATGTGTAGTGGAAGATCATAGTGCTTCCTGAAGAATCCTCAGGAGCCTCCTAGTCATGGTGTCTGCAATGTCCTCAGACATTGTTCCTAAGAAAGAATAACAAGTCTTATCTTATGAAAATGCTGGATATATAGACCAGCGGTTGGCATAATGGCAATGTCACTGGACTCCCATGTAGTCGACTGCGGTTCGAGTCTCGGACCCGGTGGCTCAAACTCTTGCTGGGTGCGTGTGCGTGTGTGACCATGATCCCAAGAGGAGAATGGAGGAGAAGGGATTGCAGCCTGGCCATCCCCCCCGGGAGGTGATTTCTTGCTTTCTGTCTTTCTGTCTCTCTCTTTCTGGCGAGCCCACGCGCCCTATAGGAAAAACCTCTCAAAAAAAAAAAAAAAAAAAAGAAAAAACCTCCAAAAAAAAAAAAAAAAAAAAAAAAAAGGAAAAAAGAAAGAAAGAAAGAGAAGAAAATGCTGGAAATAACATTTCATTGTTTTATATTACCTGATTTCCTCTCTGAATCAAGAGTTGAATCCTCCCTAGAATTTGATCTGAATTCTACCTTCACACCACAGGAGAGTGAACATTAGAAAACAAATATGAAGTTCTCAGCCACGTGGAGGGAGTTGTGTTTTCTTCTCTTAACTTCTCTTAGATGGTAATTATGGAAGCCTCTCCAAAGTAACCTCACTGGCTTTTTCCTGAACTTCAAATCTCAGGAAAAGCCCACGTCCCCAAAGCATAATCATGTTTGAAAATAAGAGCAAACTAATTAGCCTCCTCCCTTACACTGAACACCTTGCCTATCTTTGTTCAACTTCCTAAATAAAACTGTCTTTCTTATATAGAATGCTTTCCTTTCTATTTGGAGATTTAATGTTTTCTATCAGTCTTTTCAAATTTTGATTTCAATGGAAGTGCTTTTATCTTTAAAGTATGCATGTAAAAACACATTCCTAGAAATTTACTGATTTGAAAGAATGAAAAACTCCACTGCCTCCCTCTGCCAGGTGAAACATTGACATACCGTAGCATTCTTCAGCAGGGTCTTTCTAGTCTGGAGATGAGAAAACAGCATCTGTCCCACAGACGTGTAGGCAGCTAGGACAGGATGTCATCCTAGAATTAGTAAGTGAGCACTGTGTTCCGTGCTGGGTCGTTCCTGAGAGACTTCTGAAAGTAAAAATATATTTTATGCAAGTTTAGACCATGGATTCGGTGATTCAACATCAATTTTGGCTGTTTCTCTGTGGGCAGTTTTGTTTTATAAAGTATCCTGTTTTGTGACATTTCTGTTTTTTCTTTCTTTCTTTTTTTTTTTTTTTTTTTTTTGGCCCGCGCCGAGGATGGAATGCGTGCTCTTGCCTAAGAAAGAAAGGGAAAGCAAGGAAGTGTCTCCTATGGTCACACAGCAATCTGTTCTTCTCAGTATCTTCCTCCTTTGGGGGAAATGATGGACATGAATGCACATGTGCCCAGTATGATTTTCAAGCCACCAAGTCCAAGACTGAAACCATGTCTTTGGTCATGTGCGATTAAGCTACCTTAACCTCCAGGCCATCGGCTGACCCAAAACTTTACTATCTTTTTAAAATGAACTTTCAGCTATCTATAATTTTTACACATTAAGTCAGAAATTCCGTTGTCATATGCAGTTTCAGAGCTGGTATCATTTCTCCATAGGTATTCTCTGTAATAAAGAAATGAGTATTACTAATACTTCAAGTGCTATTTGGTGTGTATTGATAGCTTGTTATTGAAACCTGTGCTGAAGAGCAGAGACTTCAAAGAAAATTGTTTTTTTTTTTTCCTGTATTTCCTTTTTGAAGAAGTGATATAACACTATATTTTCTGGAATAAGTTGACTGAGTTCTATGTTTTGTATATTTTGGACTGCTATAGATATTGCAATGAAAGTTAGTGACTTTAAACTCTATTATTCCAAAGACATACATTAAGTTCTCTAACAGGTCTACGAAATTGAATTTTAGATTCTAAATTAAATTGTAACACCACAACCTCCGTGAGGAATTTGAATCCAACATTATAAGTCAGAGAGAATGTCAGGAAACCAGAGAACATACAATTATTTTCTCTTGTGGCAATGGCAAAGTCTCTCAAGACTTCGTTTAAGTGTTTTACATGGTATGTCCTATATACATGTGAGTTTTTGCTGAGACACTCTTGTTAAGTAACACATCTCAATCTACAATCTGGAGTGAGTTCCTCTGTGGTCAATACAAGCCAGAGCATTGCTGGGGATAAAAATCCTATTAAATGAATACGAATTTAGATATGCCAGAATGATGGATTCTAGACTTGGCACAGCTCAATATTTTCTTTTTCAGCAAATATTTATTCAAAAGTAGGCTTTGAGATATATTTTTGTGTCAAGCTGAAAAATTATTCTCCCACCAGATGGGGATGGTACTTTGCATTTGCCCTGAACAGCAAATAATCTTTTCATGGAACCAGCAGAAAAACTACCCAATCTTTTCTGTTGCTTCTATTAATCAGTGCCATACTAGCTAATGCTTCAGAAAATATCTTTATTTTTCTTTTGCCAGGAGAGCTTTTGTGACCACATAGAACTCAGTCAACTTATTCCAGAAACTATTTTAAGAACATTCTCTTTGGGACCAGCAGTTAACATAATGGCTATGTTGCTGGCCTCCCACGTAGTCGACCGTGGTGCGAGTCCTGGACCCGGCTGCTTGAACTCACGCCGGGCGCGTGTGCGTGCGTGCCCAAGATCTCGAGAGGAGAATGGAGGAGAAGGGATTGTGGCGTAGCCATCCCCCCTGGGGGGGGGATTTCTCACTTTCTATTTCTCTGTCTGTCTGGCAAGTGCACGCGCCCTATAGCAAAAAAAACTCTCAAAAAAGAAAAAAGAACATTCTCTTTCATTTCAGAATGTTCAAAAATAAAAGTTAAATATTCTGTCATGGTGGAGGTTTGTTTTTGTTTTTGTTTTTTGTTTTTTTATTTTCAGGCTTTTCCTTGCCTGTAGTGTTATGTTTTTATCTCAAACGAATAAGAAAATCATCTTCCAATTATAAGATACTTCATAAAGTTAAAAGAGAAAACTTTGAAGAGAATTTTCACTTTTCTAATTAAACTAAAACAAAAATGTAAATATAAAAATAGATATTACTTTAATACACGATGTTCAGGATCTATAAAGAGAAATGATAAAATCTTAAGATAAAGACTAAATATTATAAATATCTTTATTTCTCCCAAAGTAACATATAACTTAATGTTATTCTTATCAGGATCCCAGTATTGAGATTTTGTTTTGTTTTTCTGAAGTAGGCACTTGTCAAATTTAATATAGAAGTATCTTAGGGAGAAATCATCATTAAAATTCACCCAAAAAGCACTTTAAAATAAAACAAAAAAAAAAAGGGAAGAAGTCATGCAATGATAAAATGTCAAGAGGTTTTAAGGTCAAATGATCACAACAGTACCTTGGAGATCCAAGAATTAATAGAAAAAGAATTTTCCCCATGCCCCCAAAAGAAAGTAGTTTAAGACAGTGTTCAGTATAGGTGGGGTTATCTCTTTTAGGGTTGGGTTGGTGAGTTAATTTTGTTCTCTCTGTGAAAAGAAGGCAGCAAAAATCTCCGTAATAGAGACTCTAACTGCTCACCAAATAATCATCTGTTTCCCAGCCGCCTTTGCAGTTAGGTTGGGGTCATATAATCGATTAAGTTAAATCAAAATGTACACTAATAATTTAGCTGCTTTATACCTTGTTCTTAATACATCCTGAACAACCTACTTCCTCTTCTCTCCACTTGCCTCTTGGAAATGTGAAAGCCACGTGTCCTAGAGGTGGGCTGTAATTTGCAAGCGGTTGAATCTGTGAGTCACTCATTGGAAGAGAGCATCTTCAAGCTAACTGACCAATGTTAGCCTGTAGCATAAGCAAAAAATAAATATATGTTGCATTAAAGAAAAGAGAGAAAGGCGGATAAAAATGACAGATCTATCTATTCATGTATTAGACAATTCTTGCCTTCTTTACTCTTTATGTTGAACATCAGTTGACAATTTAATTAGAATTATTCATTAAAGGGACCAACAGATGGCATAATGGTTGCATCACGGGACTCCCACCCAGTCAACTGTGGTTGGAGTCCTGGACCCGTGTTTGTGTGTGTGAGTGTCCAAAATCCCGAGAGAAGAATAGAGAAGGGACTGTGGCATGGCCATAATCCTGCAGGCAGTTTCTCGCTTTCTGTCTCTCTGGTGAACACATGTGCTCTATAGCAAAAATCTCAAAAAAAAAAAAAAAAGAAAGAAAGAAAGAATCATTCAAAAATATCTACAATATATTTTGAATAACAGAAAAGGAATAGTCATTAGATCTTAGTTTTGGGAAAAGTGTTCCAAACAAAAAAAAAAATCAAAAATAATTTTTAAAGAAAAGAAGGCTGTAAGATTGATACTTTTTGCTCTTATTTATTAGGTTTTTCAAGGCAACTTTGACAATGACACCCACAGAAAAAATGTCATCGACCCTCCCATCTATGCACGTCACATAAGAATCCTTCCTTGGTCCTGGTACGGGAGGATCACCCTGCGGTCAGAGCTTCTGGGCTGCACGGAGGAGGAGTGAGGAGACCCCACTTTCCACATCCCTCTTCTCTATTTCCCTAAAAAGTATCTCCATGGAATGAACTGTATGAAATCTGTAGGAAATTGAATGGAGTTTTTTTCATGAAAAAGTGCTAAAATTATGGTAGGCCACTAACTGTCTTTCTAAGAAGGTCTAAGCCTGCCTTTTCAATGATTTAATTTGATTTTTATTATTCAAATATTTTAAGTAACATCGCATTAACTGTGAATTACTTTGATCATGTTTTCTGATTTATTCACATCGATTGAAATATATTAGTGAAAGAAAGTAACATTTTTATAGCAAG